CACAACAGACTCTTCGACAATTTCCTTTTTCCGAAATTTTGTGTGTGAATCGCTATGCCATTGCCCCATCGCTTTCTTCAGCTTAAAGTGACATGTAATGACAAGTAATACTTGATAAATAAGGCTTAAGCCACACAATAAGGCCTTCTCTAATTGAAATACATTAGAAAAGGATAAGAGACCCCAGAAGCTGAAATGAAGCAAAGACGAGGCCATCTTAGAAATGACTTATGAAAATGTGGGCGGACTGTGGACTTGCTTTAAGGGCACTGTAATAATCAAAATTATACAATCAATAAGAAAAATTGATGGGAATGCCAGATGTTTGAGTGAAATTGTTGTTTACAACCTGAGAATAGAATTCAGGTCAAATATGTTTTGGAAACTTCGGTCGAAATATAAATGAGACACCTCGGTCAAGATGGAAGGTTGAAGCCACAAATGTAATAATTGACTATAAATATAATACAAAAGCAATCAATGTAATACGAATTGACCACAAATGTAATAAAGTTTTAAAACCAACGAAAACAGAACTTACGTAAAAGAGCGCTGCCCACAAATTAGCGCCGCTCACAAATTAGAGTCACACAGAGAAATTAAAAAATTTATGAGCTCCGCGGCGCTCTCTTGAGTAAATGCATTATTCCACTACATTTAATCGAAACGACTGCATTGTTCAGCAAACTGCAGAGCTTATTTATTAATTATTGTATTATTTTTATTGTAGTTTCACACAGCTAATGGTGTTACAGCTGGTTTCTTCTCTGGCTCCCTGGTAACAACGAGTTGCCTAAGGAGGGCATGGAGCACAACTTGTTTGCTTACACCTCTTCATTCATCCCATAAAACCTGAACCCCGGTCTATCAAAGAAAATCGTTGTTTATTTTGTTGTTATTATGGCTCAGAAAATCTGGGAATCTTTATTAAAAACAGGAAGGTAGTCTAGCACCTAGTGATTCCATTTCATGACTGAAAGTCTGAGAACCCTGCAAAGCTGCGGCAAAATAGCTCTCTGCAGATCTAGGATTATTCTTAGATACATAATACACTTACCGTCAACTTCTAATTTTTCCAAATTAATGCGGATAATACATATATCAATGACTAGTACATTTCAGTGCGAGTATTGTCGATGTTTTACATTCAAAAGATGCGATAAACTCAAACTAAAATGTACTAGTCATGGAGGTATAGTGCGCATTATTTTGGAAAAATTAACATGACGTCAAAACAGTGAATGTTGTAACGCAGATTATAAAATAACTAAGATAGTACGCGCGCTCTGATTGGCAGAGAGGAGTGTTTGCATGAGCGTATATAAACATGGTTGTGGCGTCAGGTTGTTTGGCTTTTCGCCCCCTAATCACGCAAGCACGAATTTGAAAAAGTTTTCGAGTTCAAAACTCGACAAGTTTATACTATATTTATACCCATTCCTTCGTCGGCTGAAACTTGGAAAATCTTTACAAAGAAGGTGTGTCAATTTTTCTTCGCTTAAGCTGACATTTTAAGCGAGAAAAATCCCGTATTTTGCAAAGCATCTTTTTTGCAAAACAAGAACTGATTGCGCGTGCAAGACTTCGTGGACAAGATTTTGCGACTGGTAAAAATTTAGCTTTTAATCAGCGCCATACAAAGAGTTCTGCGTTTTTTTCTCAGGAAAGTTATTTTATAAAAGCAATAGAAAACTTTTTTCCTGTGTTTGCATAGCCTGATATAAACACTCTAGGCGTTGAGAGAATTCTCGACAGTTGAGGTGATTCCTTAGTTTTGCACTGCGCATCTCTTACTTCGCATAACAAGATGGCCGTCGTGAAAAAGAGCATCTGAGGTAACATTATTAAAATGAAGTTGACTTGAGAAAAACGCTATTGGAACTTTCGCTTGCGGTTCCTTCTTTCCGAGATGAGACTCAATCTGTTGGAAATGTGCATAACGTAACCAGTACGCGTGTTACTGAGTTCGACTTCCTCTCAGAGAACCTCGATAGTGGATGTAAACTTGCGCTAACTCAATTTGATTTTTATTTAAGCGCTATCTCTATCACACTGCGTCCTAACCGTGATATTTCGATGTAAACTCTGTAAAAACGGATTTTTCAATGCTTCCTTCCCCCTTCCACACACTTGCCATTTTGAAACTCGCCCCAGTCTTCTCTCAAAAATCGGAAGAAATGCATTCGGTGCGCACTTTCTTCAGCTCTACCGCAAAAACCAGTACGGTGACCCCCATTTTTTATGTCATGATTTTAATAAGAACAGTGTTTCCTTTCATTGAGAAAAAAATTGGCATAAATCTATGTTCATTTTTTTGGCAATTTTACTAAATTGTACGGATTGTGCTAGAACGGGTCGAATATAGCGTGTCCAAATTAAATCTACTTTGCAGCGTAAAGTAGAAACAAGGGCATTTAAAGGCATTTTTCTGGTACGTAGGTGGATTAACAATACATTTAGGTCAAATTCTGTGCGATACTACACGCATCATCGAAAAAAAATATCCTTTTTGTCTAGTTTTGGGCTGCGCACGGATTTTGCCAAAGGGTCCGAAATAGCCGTATTTGTCAGTATTGTGACGTCAAAACGAGCACGGTGACCCCCACTTTTTCTTACATTTTTATCATCTCCTTGGCTTGTTACATCAGTCCACCAAGTTTCATCTACATTCTAAGTTGGGTTCTTTTACTAGGGAATCACCTTAATGCAAAGCCTCGACTTCGTCTCGGGTTTGCATAACTGTCTCGAATTCTCCCAACCCCTCTCGCGTTTATATCAGGTTATGCAAACACGGAAAACGTTTTCTATTGCTTAATTTTTGACCGGTTCGTAGGATAGGTTTGTCTTGAAATTCAAGGTGTTGCAGAGAATCAGTCTTAAAGAAAGTTCCAGACATTTTTATATACATTATGAAGATTATGTGAAGTTGCACTTATACAGGTAGTGAGAAAACGGGTTAGTTTTCAAGATCGCAAAAACGAAAGTACACCAAAATTTCCTAGCATCAAAATATGATATTAAGTATCATTCTGACGCTACTTAAGAATAAATTGAGTCATTTATAACGTTTTTATTAAATAATCTATCACGGCTATTGAAATATATTTTCGTTTTAGTCGAATTCAAACACACAGAATTTTTTACTTCTTACGGAGATTGTTTGCTAAACACCAAACTTTAAAATCCTAGTACTGGATATTCAGTAGCAGGTCTAGATCACACAACATGCGGCTTTTATCAAGTTCAAAGTTTTTTGTTTATTGTTGTCATAGTAATATCGATTTTACTTAAAACTAAATTTTCACAAATTTCAATCCATAGCCAATTACTGGTGAAAATGTTATAGCGATCTGACTAGGAAAAAACCACTTTTAAGGTGATTGAAATTGCCAGCTTTGAAAAACTGTATCGAAACACATTAAGCAGGAGACCTTTAAAAATGATTTCAAAGATTATTGTTTATAGCTGACATGGTACTATTGTTTCTGCTTACTGAAAACTACATTTTGGGAAACTTCAATCCAAGGACAGTTAGTTGACAGTTAGTCAAAAAATTGTATCGAAACATTAAGTAAAGCCCGCTCAGAATCTAAACATTTTTAATGTATAGATTTAGCCAGGGCTAAAAGCGAAGCTCCCATTGATAAATTTATAATTTTAATCAAACAATAAACTTGTAATCCACAAATCAGTTAATTTAAGGGCACATTCACGTGACTTTTGAGGGAACGCTAAGTTATTTTAGAGTGAAACATCTTACATCGAGTTGATACCTTTATATGAACACCCCCCAAAAAGCAACCGACCTCGCGGTACGGTCAGGTGATGCTGGTCAGCGGATACCCTGTTTTGACAGCTGTCAATTGATCACAACATTGATGTGCAATTAGTTTCCTCTTGGGCTCTCAAACTAGCTAGAAAGTGTGAGAGTAAACATTGGTTTCCCTGTGGTACGGACGGACGGTCGGGCATACGGTCACGTGATTACCAAATTTTCTCGGAGGTTAGATTACCACACTTCCTTAGCTATGGGGCGGCGCCCACGCGCGCGCTTCGCGCGTGGGTGGAGCTCCGCTATTAATCTCTTAATTATAAAAGGTAATTTAACCTAACCTCACCATGGGAAATTGCAACAGTAGTCTCACTGGTAATCAATTTTCCGCAAAATTGAAAATTGAAAATTTTGAAAATTGTGGAAGTTCTTGTTTTATTCATATTTATTTATATTATGTTGAAACACTACCGCTTCAAAGTTTTAGAGCAATCATTTTTTGAGACTTTAAGCCGAGATCACTCTCAGGGATCTTCACATCTAGTTGATGAAAATCTGGAAAGACAATTTATTCAGTTGAAGCCACGTCTGCACAATTAAACCTGATGATAATTTGCCTAAGTCACCCCACGCGATAGTCTTAACACGAAGATTGTTTTCGTTTTGAGTGGACAAATTTTGATATACTGGGACTGAGCAACTAACATTTTAAAAACTTCATTACTAACTGTGTTTCAGCATAATATGGTATGAACACAAAACAGGAGAATTTATTCTCAACACAGAGTAGTTTAAATTAATTGCACGCGAACGCTTCGTCCTATATAGAAATGGCTTGCATTTGCATAAAATATAAGCCCTTGGATGGGCTCCAACATAGCGGGATGGCGGGGGCCAAATTTGCATAAATCTGCGACGTCTGCTGAAAACTGAGAATATTTTAAAGTAAATTGGGGAAATGGTGAAATTGTTTGTAGAGAGTAAAGTATTTAAAAAAGGGTTTTCTTTTTTTAGTTAATCACTTGAAAAGGCGAAACTCAAGCCATTTTTCTAGAGTAAGGATGTCACACGAGATGTTTATTATTTATTAATGGAAATTGGTTTTCTCATTTTGTGTACGATCCACTTATACATAAACACACTTAAGCGACATAGTCAGGAGATGTGGGTGTTCTTTCAAAAGCAGCCAAACTTAAGACTGAGAACTTTACTTCTGCATTTCAAAAAGATGGAAGACCCAGTAATTCACAGAAATTACTTTTTCCTTTTGTGGATCTTTGTCACCTTTGCGACTGATTCTCAAGGTACATGGACATTACCTTATATTAACTTTACTGTAATTAATTTTGTCATGAAAAAAGAAAGCAAGAATCTCATGTTTTTCCTTTTTTTCTTACAAAAAGCTTTCAGCCAAGGATCGATTGGCAACTTTTTCTATGTCAACTTTATGATCAGTGAATTTTCCTACCTGAATATCACAAGTATTGGACGGAATCTTATTCAAGTCGAAAACGATTGTGGCTACGCATGTCTAAAAATTCCCTCATGTTTTTCTTACAACGTTGCTACCTTCCCTGATGTCAACGGCAAACTTCTGTGCGAACTCCTGCCATCGGACAAGTTTAACAACTCCGACAAGTTCAACGCCAGCAGAGAGTTTCATCACATCTACGTTGCGGTGAGTTTACTTCTAATTTATCACAATAGTTTGGTTTTAAGAGGAAATTTAAGAGCTACGCTAGTAGACCTACTACTCTACCAAGTTTCGAAAGTTAGCATTTGTAAACGAACAACGTCATGGATCTTTGCTGGGAAAATCTTAAAGCTTTTGACTGTTGATTTTGGGTGAAAAGGTAGTTTTCTAACTCTTAACATCTACCATCTACCGATGGTCAGACATACCTGATTCAAACTCAGCCTACTTATACTTGGTTAAATCGATATTTATCTTCGAATGTCCTAATTACGTTTATAAGGAAGGCCAAGACAGAGCTTTCGACTGACATAGTTACCAACAAAAAGAGTTAAAAGTTCGCAAAACACGTCATTTTGTAATACCAGGTATTTACTCTATAGATACTTCTCTTTTACGCTATTCTGCCGGTTAGACTTTATTATGCACAGCAAAAAGTCGTGCATGAAAGCTCGGGTGGCATCTCCACGAATTTGGTAAATGAAACGGCATTGACTTTCAAAAACCCCAAAGTTAAGTCAGCTGAGCGAACCCAGTTGGGCGTGCAAGGGTCTTTGTTAAACTTACGGATAAAAATGTATATTATTTGCGCCCTTAACCGTAAAAGTGACATGCATAAATGTCAAATTTGTTTCTTTTATGCAAAAGGGTAACAACGAAAATTCAATCCAAACCTTGTATTTCGGGTTATTACACTCCTTTATGAGGACTATTAACTTCTTTAGGTTTCCTTACATAAGATTACCCTCGGACGTACAAGCAAAGTCATACAATCACCGTGTTACCGAGTTTTACTACAAAAGCGTGAATTTACTCCTGGGGGAACTCGTAAACATCAAAGTAATACTTTTTCTAATACTTGAACTGTTTAGGTAAAAAAGTCCTCGAAAAAAGTCACTTTTTTTATCCTAAATGACAGCTCTCTCTGCCGTCATGTAAATGCTGCGTCACGCAAAAGCTTAGAAATTCAGGCGTACTCAATTACAAAACCAAGAACCCTTTTGAAGCGAACATTTGTTTGAAAATTAGTTTTCAGCTGCTCTAATACAACATGAAAGTAAAATCTCAGTAGGATCGATAGTTTTGTAGTTTGAATTTTAGTGACGTCATGGGAAAACCAATAATTATTAACTAACATTCAACTGAGGGAATTCGTATTCATTAACGTTCCAGGCAATAAATGAATTTAACCGAGTAAATTACCTAGTTGAAACAATTTTTATTGAATCTAGTTCTTCGCTCTTTTTCACATAAGCGAACCACCTAGCTCATATAATGTTTGCCTGTTTCGATGGGATGCCCATCCTTGTTATGGGATGCCATAACAATGTACATTTAAAGACAGAACTGCCACTTGTAACTATAAAACCGTTCGTGTTTCGTTATTAAAAAAAACAGCTTTCGTTATTGCGTCACAAGTAATACATGTTACTGGCGGTAGCAGTGTCACCTGCGTAGCAGGCGCTTGGAAGTGGTGACCACAAGAAAAAACGGGCGCGCGAGAAGGAGACACGCGAGGTGAGAGGCATGTCTCCCTCGCGCGCGCCCGTTCTCTCTTTCGCCCACTACTTCCAAACGCCTGCTACGCAGGCTAGTAGCAGTGCTACACTATGAAACAGCAAGCATTAAGTTTTGTAAACAAAACTAAAGGAGACGAGGAATGAGGGACTTAAGGGACTCAAAGTCTGGTTTACGTTTGTTAGAGTTGCTCAAAATTCCCATTACTTGATCTCATTTTATTATTTCCATATTTTTTTTCGTTGTTTGTCCTTATTTCGAGAAACACCTCGATTTTTGTAGCCTGTTAGAGGCCGCAAGATAGTAGTGCAGTCGTTGGGTAAAGAGTGGTGGGAAAACGCGCGGGAACAGGGGACAGAGAAAGAGGACATTTTTTGCCCCGCTGTTTTCTTTCCCGGATCGCGTGCGTCCTATTTTAGCTCTGATTCTTTTATTTTCGGGGCGTCCCTAATACCTGAGGTCCTGGCTAGTATACGCTCAGGTCCAACATGGTTTAAAACAAGCCTAAAATTTCGAATTGATTTGGTTTCCGCGAAATCCAGTTATTAGTAGATTTTTTGATGAATTAGCATACAGTTTACAATTAGTAACCTCATAGGCAGCCCCTGAGCTCAACATGATAGTTTAATCATTAATCCGTGTGGTCTTATATTACCTAGTCCTCAAAAATGACCCTGAACATAAAGGATTTGCATTAGGAATCCAGGTCATAGTTTCAAAAAGAAAAATAATCGCTAGAATTTTCAATATTAATAAAAAAACGCTTTACCTTATTTACTTGGAGTTTTCTTCCTTCCTGTGTGGTTATTTTACCGATACTCTGCATGAGATTTAAGCGATTTTCTTTACTGGTGTGGTTTTCCTTGACTGAAGAGCAATGTCAACAGGATTGCCAAATTTCGTAAAAAAAAGTAGATTTTAAGTACTTTCGTTTGGTTTATATTAGCGATGAAATGCTTCCTTCGCATGCCCAATAGCTAAGGGCGCGCTGAGATCACGCGATATGTCAAAGGCGACTAAAACAATCAATTTTTACTGACAACTTCTCGGTATTTTTCAACGGCTGTCCTCACACTTTTTTCTTCAAAAGCTTATTGGCTTCATATATTCTCACGATAACATATATATATTTAGCCAGGGTTAAAAGCGAGGCTCCCATTAATATATTTATAATTTAAATCAAACAATAAACTTGTATTCCACAATTCAGTTAACTTTAGAGCACATAGCACTTTCATGTGACTTTTGAGGGAAAGGCTAAGTGATTTTAGAGAAAAATAATTTGCAAACAGCCCAAGAGTGAACAAAATCTTACATCAAGTTGATAGCCTCATATGTACACCCAAAAAATAGTAATCATCTTCGATCACATTTAGGAGCCATAATGGCTCTTGGTCACCGTAAGATTAATTAAGCCTGAGAAAAAAAATCAGGCCGAATTTTTTTGCGTTCGACAGGTTTACTTTACAAAATCTTGCTAACAAATCCTGGTGCGTGCACATGTAAACCAACCTTTTATACCATTTACACATCACATCTGAGGTGAAACAGAGGTACTGTTTTTATCATACAGACCTCGGACAGAAGGCAGTATTTCACAATTTTGCAACACAAATTGCACTCATTCAATATTCAGGACGATCGAAGCACGCGTGGGCTTGTTAAACCGTTAAAAAAATTTCCAAAATCATATACGGCCAGCCGGTTCTCACTTTTGCAGTGCGAACTGTAGCGAGTGTTTGAAGGAACATACTAGAGTTAAGCTACAACATAATAAAGAAGTTATTATGTTTATTCAGTTTTATTAAATTGTTTTATCGATGTGTAATCTTTAAAAGCGCCGGTTTGATACCCGCGGCACTGTGAGTACTCCTGCAAGCGATGTTCACTGAACGATTGAAAACAAACGGCACGGCGATTAAAATTACAAGAGAGACTACCAAAAATCAATAAAAGAAATATAATTCGGTGAAACATATACAGAGACAACATTTTTCATTGACGAAGACAAGTATTAAAGTGTCTCTAAAAATCCTGAGTCTTCAAGCTTAAAGCTTAAGTTTATGTTTTAAGCCGGCTTCCCGGTATTTACTTTTTTCAAAGATGAACTCGAGGCAAGAAAATCGCTCAAAGCTTTCTTTTACAGCCAGAATTATAACTAAATGTTCTTTAGAACGTTTTCTTTCTATTTGCGGTGAGAAAATGTCTAAAGGCTTTTTAAAGTTCTGTAAGCTTATATCAAACCTGATTCTTGGTCATATCAAATCGTCTCAAATCTTACAAACGTGCATAAACTACATAGCCGCATAAACTGCGCTCGACTTCATCAAATTAGATATAAAAAACAAACATCAAACACAATAATTACCATGCGAGATGCAGCTCCTGAAAGGTATCAAGGAAGTCCAGTATCGCTTCAGACTTTTCAACCCTTACGCATCAAGCAAGGTGAAAAGCGAAATCGATGCCATCCGAAATCGGATTTCCGACTTTGACAAGTAATGTAGTAATTTCTCAACCAAAAACCAACTAGCCACGAATAACAGAAGACTCCTGATAGCAGCTGCATTTCATTTTGTGCATCCAGTGGAAAAAGACAGTTAAAAACATCACAAGTTGACACAAAACTCTGTCTGCTTCGGCTGTCAAAGTAAACAAGATTCAAGATGCTGCATAAATTTTCCGCATGAGCTCACCTGTCAAATTTTGACAAAATCAGAGCGTAGAAATTGGACGTTGAGCGTGACCAATGCATGACCATGATGATCAAAGTCAAAAGAAACTGCCTTCCCTGCCTGTAATAGCTGGCTGAATTTTGGTGTCCCAGGTCAGTTTTAAATCAAAACTTTAATTTTGCGGCACAAAAACAAAACATATTTCATATGAATTTAAAAACAATCAAACTTGAGCCTGCGATCATTTTAAAACTAGTAACTTGTCAGCGGATAACTTAAAAAATACTCGACCTCAATGGGTCAACATCTGAGCCCGCGATACGGTCAACTGATACTGGTCAGCGGGTACCCTGTTTTGACAGCTGGCAATTGATCACAACCGGGGGGGGGGGGTAATGAACTCTTCAATCGCTCCTATTCTCGGTTTTCACTGTCACGCAATCAAAAATAAAATTGCAAACCATTCAATACAGAAAGTCCCGAATCTAGGAAATAGAAGAAGATAAATAAGCAAAAGGCCTCGCCAAGAATCAGGTCTGTGCGATATTTCATATGTGAGATATTAGGAAAAACGTTTTACCAAAATTTAGAAAGCTTTGTATGGAGACGCCATGTTTGTGTCCCTTTGCGGGGCACAAATATGGCCGCCGGAAACCAACAGAAACATCTGTTTTTGAGTTTTCGTACTAATGCGTTAATTCATCGCTTGAAAAACTCATAAAATATTAAAGTGATATTTATTCTGAGACAAGGAATGTTTAGACAGCAAAATCTCCCAAAATTGGTAATGTTTGTCACCCACATAAAAGCCGTTGTGGCCGCCAGCTAAATGCCGCGTCACGCAAAAGCCTAGAAATTCAAACGTCCTCTATCGCAAAACGAAGAACCCTTTCGAACCAAAACTCTCTTTAAATAAAGGTGTTTAGGTGCTGTAATACTTCATGAAACTCAGAAACTCAGAAGAATCGATCGTTTCTTAGTTTGAATTTTAGTGACGTCATGTGAAAACCGAGAATAGGGATCGCGCGGCGGATGATCTTGGCCATCGTGACGTCACGAGAAATTTATCCCGGGAACTTTAAATGGATTCAGCGAGCGAAATTGTTTCGTGGTTTCAAGAGGTAAAAGTCGAGACGTTGCGATGAAACGACCGAAGGTACGTGTTTATCTATTAATGCTATACAGTAAAATTGCAATATATTCTAGGAAAGAGCATTTCCATCGTAAAAAATCAAGAACTTCCCGAGGTCGACCAGATGGTACAACTCATACCGGCGCGT